ATCATTTGGAATTGCATTGGTAGTCGCAGTTGACTCGTGGGTCCTTCTTCTACAGCACCCACTGCACTGTGTTGGCCGAGGTGGGAAGGCTGCCCAATGGAGGACAGAGAAGGGAGGAGGGAGCGCCGAGGACGATGACCAAATTGAACAAGGGCTATATAATGCCTGGATTGCGAGATTCCAATGTCTTCTTGTCAACGCCGAGTGGCCAGCCTGACCTCAAAGCCTCACAAATGAGGTAATGCACATCCTGCCCTAGTATTCTCACCCCTTCTGCCTTTTAAAGGCTTAAGCTCACAATGTCTTTTAATGACATTTTTCTCCTCTCTGGGTTCGTTGTTGACTTATTGCTAAGTGACAATGTCCGCGCATAAACTCCTTCATCGAAGTCACTTGTCAAATTGAATATCTTGGAAGCAAAAAGGGGTAAAAGCATCAAAATAGCACTCCCCAAGTTGTTATTTGTAAGTAAAGAGGAAAAAGAGGGTTCTTCATTAAATAATTCTTAAGACAGATAGTCAAGGAGGCAGTTGGCTGTCTAAAATAAAACTTAATGACTCAACTTCCGCACGCAATCGGAAACACATTCAAGGCAGGAGGGTTCCATGAAATAACCGTTGCAGATACCATAGCAGCACAAAATTTACTTCACACGCAAAGCCTGTGGAAACCACTGGAGAATAATTACTGATAAACAGAAAGTTTAAAAACAGTTTTATGTTGACAAACAAAACATTCTTTTAGATTGAGTATTTCTAAACACACACACACACAGAAAGAGAGAGAGATAACTTTGAGTTGCGACAGCGGTGAAATCGTTAATTGTCGACTCAGTAAATCCAAAGTCTGTACCTCAGAAGTAACTTGTCAGTCTCATTATCAGCAATAATAGTTGAAGATAATTAAGACTTCGCCTTCCGATCTCTTCTCCTTGCTTCCTGTGGACTGCCATCGGCACCTTTACACGCGTTTTGAGGTGATACCTTCCGTGAACCCTAATTAGGCTTTATTTTTGGTCAAAGAAGGGCAAATCATTCAAGTCCTTAAAGGTGGAGACCAATTGCGGCATCCGGGTTTCAAGTGAACTTTGACCTTTGTCACAATTCGGCTTGCCGTGCTCAGATCAGTGTCCACGTCATCTGTGCCAAATCTGCCGTCTTCGAAAGAAGTGAAGCCTTCGACACCCAATTCTATTGCAGCACTTTGAGTTCAGATCCTTGAAAACTATTCCACATACTAATTTTCGCGTGAAAAAAAGCTTCCTATAAATATCATGAAAAAGCGGTATCAAATTGTGGGTGAGATGTTCGAGTTTGTGGTCACAAAACTAAAAGGTCTTCACTTCCAATATCCCTCCTCCGAAGTATAAATAAAGAGGAGAATTTGTTCAGTTTTATTTTGCTCAGCTGTCCCTGGATATCACATGGAATCTAGGTCGGTGGTCTGTCTCTTCATGGTCTGCAGAAGAAAAAGCATTCCACTTCAGCGTCTGCCGTTGTGACCGAGAGAAAAGCTACACATTTGTATTGGAGTGAGCTCAAGCGTAAAGGCAAACACACTTTCTCTCCGTTTGGACCAACTGACACCTGCCTATTGGAATCAAAAGTCGTTTAATCTCAAGACATCATTCTTCTGCCTTAAAAAGTGCTATGAATTTAAAGCTAAATCGCAAATGCAAAAAATAATTAGCTTTTGTTGCAGAGACAATATTTAGTTTACTTTTTATATTTACATTTTACACTGGAGGTAGGCGTTATTCTCACAAATAAAGAAGGACGGATACGTTCCAAACAGCAAGACTTAGTCTTGATGACAGCTATTATTAATCGTGAAGATGATCAAAGCCTTGGGTGCTACCTCCAATTAATGCGTAAATGGCCCTGGAATACTTCATAAAGTATCTCAAAGAAGATTCCTCTGTAAAGGACGCCACTGCGAAGTCTATGCCTTGGTTATTCATGACATCTGCAACATTATTCCCTCTTTGGATGATGTAGAATGAACAAAACCTAAAGATCGTTCCATTTACTTACCCTTTCAGCCTCCGCCGTTGAGTCGCCTGAGAGGTCGCGAGGAAGGAAGCTTTGATAGAGTGCCGACCTCACGGTCTGAGTGATCGAGTCAACCCTCAGTTGGAAGCCTCCGCTGTCACCTGTGAAACGAATAAAAACATGTCTTACACCTACGGACCGAAAGTGGTGTGATTTAGTAAAAACGACCTTAGCCTATAACTCCCGCGAGTTATACCCACCCTTCTTCTTTCTTTTCTGCCACATAATACCACACCTGACACAAGAAGTCGACTTTGCCTGCTCCGACTTGAGCTCGATACACGTGAAAGTCAACCGTCTGAGCTGGATTGCTATAGCATTCAACTGTATAGTCACTCACAAATTTTAATCTTTCCACCGACTAGGTCTGTCTTAAGGTAAGCCAAAATCACACTCCCCAACCTTTATTTCACGAATGTTGGGGTGAAGTTAACAGACTGCAGCGTTTTTGAAGTGTTGTAGGTAGCGGGCAGTTTTGAAAAAAAGCTCCATAATTCCAGTCATTTAATATTTTTTGTTGCAGTTTGCTGGAGTTCTCGTAACTCAGCTGTGAAATCTTATTTTATGACAGAGCATGGTTACTCACCTCCTGGAATGCACAGTAGACCTGAGGGGAGCATTTGTCATGGCATTCTTACTGTGCTGTGAAACTAATAGACCCACAAATAAGTATAAATGGCGCTGAAGAGATTTCTTTCCTAGATCTCCACTCTTATGAATATAAATGCAGAGCGACAAAATGGGTGCCTAAGGGGATGGGAATTGCCAACGCGATTCAGTGATCGCTGTGAATCGGATCAAATGTCAAGGCGTTGGGTAAGTTCGAGGAATGACTGATTTTTGAGTTGTTGAAGAATTCCCTTTACGAGCTCTTTGCGTAAGCATAAATTCAAATTGCATGACAACTGGTTCTAAAACAGAATTATAATTTTCAATTATACTGTCCGCAAGGTGAACTATAAAGAGACGGTCTCTTCCGTTTTTATTGTTCTCTCCCAAGTCGACAATATGAACTGGAGTAGTTTGGCTTGCCGTCCATAATCAGGTGGACAACGGCTTGGTGTACTTACTTTTAAGCTCCAATTGCTCCTTCACAGTCCTCCCTACTGCCTTTGACGATGCGTCTGTTCGCCGCGGTCTCACACGACACCAAATGTCATAGCGTTTTCAACCCAGCAATGTAATGCACTCAGTCGACATAACTCAAGCAAAAAGCGCATGCGACATTTGGGTGACCCTGAATGTGGCGCCAGGCCAGAACAGTGTCAGTAGTGGCATGGACAAGCACCGTTACTATGGCTAAGGAGTTGAAGCCCTTATCAGATGCAGGAGCAAAATTTACTTTTGACAAGTAAACTATTCTCTCTTTTCGCGACTATAGTTGCGTCACTGATGCCTGAACTTGAAAATCCAGATATCTCTGATCTCCTTTGCTTCCAATGAGTAAAATCCAGTCGTCCACGAAACACGGCTATTTTACGTCAGTTTTACCGTCGTAGACTCAACCGATCTGCATGCTAACACGATTTTAGGTGACCAAGTACCACAGAATGGTGGAAAAAAAGTGTCTGGTGCTGAATGACTTTAAGCTCTAGCTTGGCTGAAACATCGATAGGTGGAGACAAGTGACGTCTTGTCAATTCCTCATTCCGAGCAGCCACACACATTTTAACCTTCTGAGATAAGTGCTTTTTATTTCAACTTTGAAAATTGACAGTGACAACAAAAGCATCAACTTACATGCCATGCCGCTATGAGGATCCTTAAAGGTAAACAAAAAGAATTTAAATTACTACTCCCTTTAAGAGAATTGCAATGGCATTCGCTTTGAGCCCTACCCACCGCTGATGAAATGCGAACCATGTTGTGAAAACCACTGCCAATAAAGAACTCGCTCTGATCGCTGGTGGAACAGTTGAGGACAATCAAAAAGCCCGTGAATCCGTCGTTGGGAAGGACATATTCACTCTCCTCGGGGTCCAAAATCATCTCCAAGCGAGTTTGTTCTACAAAGGCACACAAAAATATCGCCTTCAACCAACGCAGGCTAATTTTGGACTTCAAATCCAAGCTTGTCGTGACAAGCATTCCCATGTGATACTATAAAAGTTGTGAAGGTGGGGCCACCGAAAAGTAGTGCAAGTACAAAGTAAGCACTCAAAACACCATTCATAAGGACACAATGTGGTCGTTTCAAATAAAATGCACATCTGATCACGTCAAGCAGAGGCAAGGGATGAATGGAGGCATGACGCAACGATTGCTCTACCATTTACAAGCGATTCAAATCTGAAATATTTTCATCGGAAACTCATCCTTTTGATAGGCCAATTCATAAGCCATCTAAAGGACGATTTAGACCATTGAGTGACTAAGATGTAGCAAATGCGGATGGATGGATGCTTTGATGACGTTCCCGTAATCGCCATGAGCAGAGTCACGTGAATGCCAGAAGCTTCCATTGGAACGTATTCAACTTGAATAGACTGAATAAACATGGGCATCTGCCCCGACGCCCTTGGAGGAGTAGTCAATCAGGAGCAGATTCGTAACCCTTTGAGTGGGAAAGATCTTTTATTTGCTTCCTACAGGAAGGCGATGAGAATCATGAACAATTTTGTGCTGGCAATTCTTACACTCTTATCTCTTAACAGCAATTTTAGCTGGAATAAGGCCTTGTTTTCGCCAAAGGCAAGGGTAGTCGTTTCAAAAGCCAAAGGCTCCTGCGTCCGAAGGAAGGTCGCAATGTGTATGTTGGATTACTTGAATTCAGCTTCCATTCCTTACTTTGCTGGGAGAGGAATGCTTGCAGGCAGGGGAGACTTCTGCCTTCACTTCGACATTTTTTCTGCAATTACCGTAATTTTAAGGAGTACAATGGAATGAATGCTTTTTAATTAGGCAGGACTTATTCAAGCATGAGCTCCATGCTCATTAGCATTTGCACAAATTCCTTTTCAGTGAAAGAAATGTTATAATTAAGGTCTAAAATCCACTTCTCCTTTGATATTTGTTTTTACTTACCATTTATCTCATAAATCAAAGTCCTCAATTTCTCTTGCCATTCCGCAATTAAATAACTGCTACCCAGGGAAGCAAATTAATGCGTTTTCTCTAAAATCTAACTGCTAACGGATGTCCTGGCGAATAAGGCAAGAAATTGCGTACTCTTCCAATGTTATGGCGGTTTGCGATCATTTGGCCCACGAAGGACAATTAATAGAAGAGGAAAGTGGGTGCTTTGATAACTCAAGTAGCCGTCCACCGAGGTAGTAGGCTTTGCTTCGGGTCCCTCCACCTGCCTCCCAAATAAGTGCGCCCCGTATAAGTAATCAGAAGTAGTGGTTTCCGCTTATAAATAATAAAATCGGTGGGAGTCATGAAAACTAATAGTTCCCACATTGCAGCATTGGAACTGCACTTACTGCCCCTCGGAATTTGCAGTCGAAAGCACATTCCGTGCTTCGTTCTTACTGACTCAAAATTCTGGGCGTTGCACTCGGCGTTGTTTAGTCTGCACCTGCAAAAGAGGAAAGCAACAACGTCAAGACTACTTTCTTTAATATTTCAGCGTTTATATGTGGCAACTAGGGATTTTAGGGCGAACCGTTTGAGCATGCTGTAAATGCTGTGCGCGTATTGTTGAAGCTGCTCAGAAGAGAAGTCGAGATCTTGGAGAGTAAACCTTGGATCCTGCACGGCCTGAGAAACCTTGTCGTACAGACCCGCGTAGTAGAGAGCTGTTGCTCTACAAATGTAAAAGAAAAGTTTGTAAGTTTAGTTTTATTCTATGCACAATTGCAATTCCATTTAGGCCTTTGAAAGAAGATTTGTATTTATACATCAAAACATCGAACTCGGCATGTCGTTAGTTCCAACCGTTCTACAGTCTGCATCTCTCCGTGCGCTGACATTAAACCCTTTTCCTATCCCTTCTACACTTTGATGACGCACAATGTCATCGGAGGCAAATGGAGGTGGGGCAGTGCAGTTCCAGGCCTACTGAGTGACAAGTGACCGTAAACAAGTTTGTAAAACAGCTTTAACTTTGATGCCGTTTATGGCTGATTTATATTGCCCAAATAACCCTACAAGCAAACTAAGTGACATTAATTGCAGTTTAACATCTTTGAATTGTGGCCCTCCTCTGTCAAGCTATTCGGAGTCGTGTCTATGCATGCAAGACTGATTGTTTGTGAGCTTAAAGTACCCGAGTCCCCAAAGTTAAAGAGGTGAAGGAAATGGACCAATCAAATTACAGTACCCAACTTCCTCTTCCCTAGCTAAAGACGAAATGAATCCCGTATGAGCACAAAGCATTGTTCCTCCGCCACACACCTACGCCTTTAATGAACTGCTTCTTTTATATTTGGACTGAGTGAAACACCGCTTCCCTGACTCGTAGGCAGTGAACTGCGTGTGTGCTTGTCGTTGGTGTATTCTTAATTCTGACCATTTGAATTGGCACAAAGAGATTGATGGGAGTTGTATTTTCTCAGAACGTTGGTGTGTTTTGGATTTTGCCAACTATGGCGAATTAAGTGGGTGGAGCCTTTTAGTTACTTCATGTGACACGCAAAGTGATCACTGCAGACAAAAATAGAGCGATTGGTCAGATTAGTTTTCGTCTCTTGTCGCCTTTATTTGAGTTGAAAAGTAAACTAGTGAATGAGACGCATGAGAACTCGCCTGTAGCAGTCATTTTGGTAACGAAAATAGATGTTATATGATGCAATTCCTTGTAAAAATGCAAGGCACTACGAAGAGCTGATTGCACCGCAAAGCGCCTTTCAAACCTACAGACCAATTTTTCGTTGAATATGTTACCTTTAGATTGCAAAGGTTTCTGTACAAGTTCGCCGTTTCTTTGATGAGAATTTCACATTCGATTACTTTTACTTCTCTATCAGGCGTCAAAAAGTTGCCTCTATATCTTCGTTTTTCAACCGTTAACACTGAATCCGCTTCATGCATGAGGACAAAGGAAGGAAAGAAGTTTAAAAAAAAATGTTTTTTTTTTCGTTCTGAAATTGTGACAAACTCTAGCATGCAAGTGAACCTCAGGAGATAAGTCATGGCATTGATTTCTGCTCAACCGGCGTGACTGTGTGGAATGTCTTTCTTTTCCCCTCTGATTCCTTGTTTTACTACTAGCCATGTCGATATCCACTCACCTCAGAGGATTGGCATTGCAAAAGATGAGCGAAGGTAGAAGGGTCTCCGACTCAGAGTCTTGATTTGAGCCTCCTTCCTCTCTGAAAGTCGACTTCCTTTGATACCCTTCCGCTCTCCACCAGACAAGAACCCGGAATGTAAGAAGGCACAGAATGGCCAAGGTGATCAGCGCTTCTAGTGTGGTTGATCTTGGAAGAAAGCTGTGTCACGTAATGTCAGGATATAATCTAAACCCAAATAGTGATCTACTGCTTGAGCTTGTTAATTAATCTCTCCTTCTCTTCCTACTTCGACAGTCTCTGGTTCAGTTAACCAGTTTTGTGCATGCTTATGCTAAGAGCCGAGGCTAATGAAGGCCTAAAATGTCAAAAATAGGCACCAATTTTGGTTGTGCTTTACCTTAAAACAATTTTTCCTCCTATAAGCTGCTGTTTCATAGTCTCATCATAATCATCGTGCTCCTCTCTCAGTGAAATTAGTATTATCTACTTTAATTAACAATGACAGAAGAAAGAATCTTGAAGAGTTATATGGCTTTAAGAGGCATCAAATCAACAACGCCCATCGTTAAGGAGGAGATTCTTAGTGCCTGGACCTTAACGCTACTTTCGGGACCCTTCAGTAAGTGCCTTAGTGAGAGGCATATCCATCTCTCACCCTCAGAATCATCACATTCTTGCTATGCAAGTAAATGAAGCGGTCTTATATGAGCGGTAATGAGTGGTGCATTGCTAACCAAAGATAGTGAAAGAGACTCTTATCAGCCTTGTCAAGTGTGCTTTGGTGTTAGCCGGACACTGAACGTAGTGCACAAGTGTTTGATAAGAAGTTTACAAGTACCGTTCCAAGTTAGACCATAAAATGGTAAGCGGAAGTCTCCGCAAGCCTCCAAGGTCGAAGTAGTTCTTACATCAATTACTTGATCTAAGATAACGTTCGGCATTGAGGTTCTCGCCCCCTTTTCCGGCCTTTTTTAATCATATAAACGCGGAAACCCCTACCACAGCCTGTCCTTTTCTTCGCTCCACGCTGGAGGCACGTGTGTGCAAACGAGCACCCTGGTATTTGGACGGATAAAAAAACTATCTTCGCGAACTAGAAATGAGTTTCTCTAACTCAATTTTCTTTTTGACAGCTGGCTTTGTAGTTAAGATAAAAATGCCCAGAGCACCTAACCAACGGCCTGCGTTTCTCACCCACCACTTCGTTCACGTCTGCTAATTGCTTTGAGATTTTCAACAGTCGACTTCAACTAGGACATAAAGGGCCAAAGCTCCGAGTCAGTTGCGTGGCCTTCGAGACCTGCTAATCGGGAAGCCGTCCGCACCGGCTAAAAGTGCAAGCGCGCGCAATTCACGTGCAGTGTAGCCGGCAACTCGCAATGAAGACCGGCATCCCATTGCAACAGCTGAACTTGGAATTTTGACTGTCGGTTTCCTCTGACGATTCGACGGAGCTTTAAAGCCCCATAGTTTCCTCTCTCTCTTGCTTGCTAGCATCATGCACACTATCGGAGTCAAGTGATTAGACGAGTTGCAATGCCTCTGTCAAGTTAAATTTTGATTATAGCGTGACAAAAATGATGTTGCGACTTGCAAGGGAGGGTGTATACTGCTTTTTCCTCCTTAAGTGCATCCCTTCTACTTAGCCTTGTTAATAAAAGAAAATAAAAACAAAATAACTTTCTAAAATTATTTTAATTGGTCATTTGACAATAAATCGGTCTTAAGTTATTAATTCATGCTTTAAAATACCTTCTGGGATTCCGGTCTCTACTTTATTCGCTACATAATGGGCCAACTGGGAGGTCGTTTGGACCTACTATATATAACCGGAACAGGAATTTGCAAAAAATTGTTTGCATTTGTAAATTTAGATTAGATAGCCAATAATTATTTTGTGACATTCAGAAAATCACCTTTCGAGGGCTGACGAAAATTTGTACGAAAGGCAATTAGAGTATGAATGCAATTGCTCATGAAAGTGAGGCTTACACTCTTTCTAACAAAAAAGTTTCCTACAATTACAAGGATTCTACTATTAAAAACACTTGAATGTGTTTACTTATCTGTCTGAAATCCAAATTAACAAAGGAGAAGTAAGGTTGATGAAGTGTTGACTGACTTACAGTCTTATGCGCATGTGATTGAATAGTCAAGTGAATATGTCGTGGTCATGAATGGAACCGTCGGAAGCCCCCAAGGTGGTGAGATCAAATGACCAATTACCTGCCACAGGAAACTCATCGCCACCAATGGGAAGCCCTCGCCTTGTGTGATTGGCCAATGGGAGGCGTGACAGCTTCAGAGCTTAATAAAACTTGTTTTTAGGCTCGTGTTGGTAGGTCGAAGAAGGCGCCCCATTTCAACCTGGCGAAAAGCAATGCAGATAAAAGCGCTTTTTTCGCTGAAAGCCTAGATGCACAATTATGTTTTGGAGGCTTGTGTGGGTGGCATTAATCACAGGCTTAAGACTTTAAGGTTTTTTCATCCCTATAAAGGTCGTATAAATGCAAGTGTGACAGTTCTCTTATGCGCAATTAGGCTTACGACAGGGTTTTTGGTGAAGAGAGACAATTAGCTAAGGGCAAAATATATGACAGTACATAAAGTTTCCTTTCTTCGCCCTTTTAGTACATAACTTCCCAGTCAGGTTTATTTATCCTTGCAATAAGTGCAGTATCTACAGAGAGAAAGCATGCCTTCGGCCCTCATTCGAATTCAGTACCAGAATTTTGCATCACAAATTAGTATATTTGCCCAGTCCATGATTTCAGCGGAATTTTATGCCTCTTTATGGATTTTACTATTTACCTTTACAGTTTGATGCTTAAAATATACTCATTTAACGTTATGTCTCTTAACTTCCACGAGTACCTTAAAGTCCTTTTAAATGAGCACCTCGAAAGCTTACAGGGCTGACTAATGGTGTTCTCATTGTAAGCTCCTTGAATTTTCATTTGTAAACCAGAATGCCAGACATCGAGTTTAGAGTTATGAGCGACGTCTCTGAGACTCGTCTCGCCGACCTCCCGCTTTGGGCATTTCAACGCCATTGTTACCGTAAAAATGACTCCAGCCATCCAGTCATGCCAGTCATCGAAATCCTATGCAAGTGAATCCACATTACCGTTTTGTTAGTAGCTTTATTTGGAGATGGAGGAATATGGTGACCACCACGGTTGGCCATTAAGGCACAAGCCCAAAAGTGGCGTCATCTAACAAACACTGTGCTTAACATAATTTCATGGATGTAGGACTGTGGCTGTTTCCCCTTCACAAATGTCTAGCGTTAACTTTTTAACTTTCTTGAATGCAAGACGGCCTCAATTGGTACCGTTCCAGGTGTAAATAGCTTTCCAGGCAAATAGCTTAAGTGGGGTGGTTATGGAAGGCGGTCAGGATTTTCGATTCCTCTGTTAAGGGTTTCTGCTTCTTTTACCACTTTTAGTAGTTGTTTCGCAGGCTAGAACCTGTCATCCTCTCCCAGTAATGCGGAGTCTGATGGCCTTTTAGGTCAAGAAGGAAAACACAATACTTAGACTGAGTATGTATTACCAACATATGCAATTGCGTGTGCGTGGAGCGGCTAACATGACTCGGAGATCGGGTTACCTGGCAAAGGCAAAATGATGGGGGCTAAACGCAAAATCTCTGTTCGACAAACCCCTTTTGTACGTTGTTATAGTTGTCCATGCATTAAGACATTTGTTGAATCAATTAGCCTGTTGGATGAGTCTTTGCATTCAAAAAAATGATGCTGGCTGTCACACAGAATCACTGGGCATACGAACTGCCTTCGTGTACGCTAGTACCGCCCAAGCGTTTAGACGTTTCTTGAATTTTGAACTCACAGAGTCAACAATCGACGTGGATAGTTTGATTTATCGCTCTCCAAAACTTAAATTTCAACGTTTACTTGGAAGAATGTTTTTTTATTTATGTTTCCTTTGTACGCATAAATTTATTGCGTTTTAACGAGAAAATAAATACTTCTTACTTAGCAGATAGTCCATTTTTCTTCGCTTGGCTCGACAGGCAAGACATTTTGATTTTGGCTTAAGCTACCCAAATTTATTTCGTTTAAATCATAGTACCTGGTTTTACTTTTGCAGAGACCTCGTTGTTCATAGGCAGCTCCATTCGTTCAAAAGGAGTTTCATTGTATGCCTCACTCATGGAGGCTTGCGTCGTCCGCAAACGTCATTGCATTATGCCTTCAAATGATGAATGCAGCTAGTTTGATATATTCTAGCTAAAATGCCCATTTTGAACAAAGACACTATCTTGAAAGAAAATCTCCTTTCAATTCCAAAACTTAGGCAAATCATGATGAATCATTGCAACGCTGCTTTTTGGTGCAATAAAACCTGACAAAACCGGCAACTATTCATAGTGGGAAAAGTTAATAGATGCCGGTTCTGCATCCATTTCACTCTACTTGGGGGTGGTTTTTCGCGGCATTATTGCCCTACAAACATATTTCCTTATCTTTACACCATCGTTCGGTGCTTAAAAATATGTTTGCAATTCATACTGCGACTGGAGAGCTAGCATCTCTTTGGTTTCAATGCCTTAGAATTAATTACGCTTTGCTTTCAGAGTTCCTTGCTGATATACTGCAATTTTTTTTTAATTTGTTAATGGCTTAAGTAGTTATTGACGCCGCAGAAAAATGCACCTACTGCCTTCTATGCTAATACTTTATTTTATTTTTTCGAACTCTTTATAAAGCACATTTATTGTGAATGGCGAGCAAACTACCTTCCATAATTTTGATGGTTCTGGGCTTTTTATTGTTATGGTTCATACAAGGAAGTCTTGATGGCTTGTACAGGCATTATTTGCATCATCAAGCAAAAATTTTAATTGATCCATCCTTGTTATATGCTGGGTTAATCATAAAGCATGATGATGGACTTTAGTCACACGTACAAGCTAATAAAGCATAAAATTTTGGCAAATCAGGCTGGTCAAACCCCCAGGGGAGTGTCCTAATAAACAGCTGAATGTGTAATCACTTACTTTACTGACAAATAATTAGTAGCGTTTAATTGTATTCTTCCTAATTTTTTATAATGGAAACCACATGCAATTTTGCCTTTCCAACAGGTTTTTCGGAAGAGGTCTGGTTATTCTCTAGCCTGCTAGCAGTGATCACCTACTCCGTTTTCAGTTTCCTCTTTTACAGCCAAACCGAATTCTACTACTTGGTGCGTAATCTGCACAACCGCGGTTACTCTGTAGCATTAGTATCAAATGGTACTAATCATATTTATAGCTGAGCACTAACGTAGATTTACGTACAGATCCGGCAGATTATCAGTTTTTAAATGCCTCCTTAATTTCAATTTAGGCGAATCATAATATGTCATTGCTTTAATGTCTTTCCAGTGCCAGACTTGTGGGTACCATTGCTGCTTTGTTTGGTGTGGGAAAGCACCAGATGTTCGCTGACTCGTAGCCTGAGAAACTTCCGCAGGTGACAATCTATGCCTGGATTAGCTCTCGCCCTTACTTCCCGAAATAAAGTACTGTTGTCAGAGGCAAATACAAAAGATTCTTATTGCCTTCGTGGGGTAAAACTCCACCTACCTTTAATCTGCTGTAATTTTGGCATAAAAGTAAGAATTTATGTTGGGAATTAGGGAGCATAACACAACTTCCTTGTCCTAACTAAACATACTGCATATTAGACCTTCATACTAGATAATTGTCGACTAATTAGAGAACCTAAATGCGCGTGCATTCAAACGGTGAATTCGCATCCACCACCTCTTCTTTCTAATTATTATTCTTCTTCTTCCCAGGCGAATGTATCGTTTAGCAATCGTCGTCTTTCTGTGTTGAGTTGTTTATGCCGTCTATTTTTAGTAGCCTGCTGCCATCTCCCAATTTCATTAGTTCCTTTCTCTACGGAGGGGGCGGGGACGGGGGTGAAGGCGGGGGGCGAGGGCGAGGGCGAGGGCGAGAGCTAGAGAGTGAGGGAGTGAGAGATTATGTTATTAAGACCAAAACTGTACTCTTTGAATTCAAACCCTTTAATTAACAGTACCACACATTTAAATTTGTGATTCGAGCGAATAAAATTTTCATTTCCCCCTTCGAAAACAGTATGGAGTGGTAAATGTTGGACCAGCTCGTGATAACCGATCTTGCTAAAAAACAGGTTTAGAACGATGGGAACAGATACGCTTGACGGGTTGGTATTCGAATGCGAGTTGTAGTTTTCGTCTCCAATTTATAGAGCATCAGATCGGGAAGTAGGAGAAGCTTGGTTTCGGATTGAAGGCTTGTCTGGACCGCATCTCATCTAAACACTTCAACTGTTTATGCAATGTAAGACCATAAGGTATCGACGACAATGTCTTAACAGTCGCAATCAGACCTTGATTGTTGTG